GGGAGGAGTTTGTATGCTGGAGCACAAGGTGGTCCTTGGGGCTGATGTGCCAGGGCTTGACCTTTTCTCATCCAGACTCACCTCTACTTATCAGGCCCCAGATTTCATACCAAGCTTAGGAGAGGGAGCGAGAACTCTGAGGTTGGGTCTAGTGACAGGCAATTTAGTGAAAGGCACCATTTTGCATGCTATGGCTGAAGAAGAAATTGGAAGGTTTAGAGTCTACTCCCTTGGCATTGCAACTCCCCAGTAGCACCTGGAGAAAACTCCAAGGCCTTCCAGGCTGTTCAGCTGTGACTCACTGTAGGGTAAATGATTGTCAGGCTTTTTTGCCCTCCCACCATTAGATTAAATGCATGCCTGATGGTGGTTGCCTGGAGTAGGGTGTGGGCAGGCATAGGTGGGTATGTCTGGGCTGAGACTGGCTTATAAGAGAAGGGGAACAAGCGAGAGAGAAGCAGAATAAGAGAGCAGAAGAGAGAGAACGCCAGAGAGTCCAGAAAGCGTGAAAATTTGCTGGGGATTAGGAGGCCTGCTAGCCTCCCAGCCCTCTTGGCACCCCTGCCTGCCATGTAACTAGTAAAATGGCAATAAAGGCCTGAAAAGTCACCGAGGGCTCCAGGACTCCTTCACCCGTCTGCTTGGATCATAGAGAACCAGCTCTGTGCCTTCCTGGCACTACACTCACCATAGGTCATAGTCAAGCCAGGACACGGGGCATAATAGAAGCTGTCCCGCTCATGTCATTCATATGTCACTCATCACACACCACTGTGTGGCAAACACTTATGTCAGTGTCTTATATTAGTAGTAACTGTTATTTATTTCAACTCTGTATGTACACTACACTCAGCCTGATTAAAGGGTACTAAATGTCAAACCCTTGTCAAATATCAATCACATTTTAACACACATAGTAGGTATACTTAACTATTTTTTTCAAATGAATAATTGACACCACATTAAATAATAAAGTAGCTATATTTGGTACCACTAGAGTCAACGTAAGGGCCACACCCTAAAAGTGTATAATATCAATAAAACCTTTGCACTTCTAAAATCTGTGATCATGGGGCCTCCCTGTTGGCACAAGAAGTTAAGACACAACCTATGAAGCTATCGGCAGCCACTGCAGCTCAAGTTTGATCTCCAGCCAGGGAGGTGACCCACATGGCACAGCAGACCTCTCCTGACTTCACTGGTCCCCTCAGCAGTGTATTTCAGTTTACCCGGCTGTTCTTTTCCTCACTCTGTCTCTGGTGAATCCTCTCACCCCTGTACCTCTGGCCTGTATACATAAATAAATAAACCTTAAATTAAATAAACAAACAAACAAACAAATAAATAAAATCTGTAATCTTGGATTGAGAGTTTTACATGATAATAGTTTACATTTACGTAGTATTTGACAGTTTATAAAGCACCTGAACATGCATTCTCACTAATCTCTCACTATGTTTAAGTGTAGAGGGTCTTTGGGGAGTTTCTTTGCTCTATGTCACCATCTCCTTTGCAGCAACCCAAACAATTTAGGTTGTTTTCCAGAGAATTAAGTTTTTTAACTCCCTTCAGGTTAGAATCTGATAGTTTTCTCAGTTACTGAGTCCTCTTACTACTATTTAAACCTGTCTCCTCTGGTTCTAGCTTTAGTAGTCATTTAGATAAGACCCAAGGAGTTAATGTTTTCTTGGCAAAACCTGGAGGGATACTTTGCTATTCTTACCCTTCTTTCATGAAGAACTGCTTAGCAATAAACAGTTGATCTACTTTAAATAAGTAGCCTGGACCAAATGGGAGCTCTTAGGGCACTAGCAAATGGCAGTCTACCTATGGCTTATGCAGTAACTGATGTTACTATTTGGTTTGAATATAAACAAGGGTAGAAAAATGTCCACTAGAGGGGCCTCCCTGGTGGCTAAGGGTAAAGTCTCAGTGCTATCACCACTATGGCCTGAGTTCGATCCCTGGCCAGGTTGCTGACCCACATGGTGCAGCAGACTTCTCTTGTCTCGCCCACTACTCCCCTCAGCAGTGTATTTCAGTCAATGAGCCTGTTTTGCTCTCTACTCTGTCTCTGGTGAATCCTCTCACTCCCTGAAACTCTGGCCTATGCCCTAGTTCTTCTACGCCAAATAAGTAAATATTTCTTTTTTAAAGAAAACTGTCCACTAGTCAGCTTTGAAAGTTGCTACAACAGTGTCAGGTCTCAAATGAGGTAGAAGGGTTGGACTGAAAATCTCTCAGACCTCATGAATCATGACTTTTTTTTTTTTTTTTAAAGATTTATTTATTTATTTATGCAAGCACTGGGTACAGTCAGAAGTGCGGGAGGGTGAGAGAATTCACCAGAGCCAGAGCGGATAACAGAACAGGCAGACTGACGAAATACACTGCTGAGAGGAGCAGTGGGGGCGGCAGGAGAGGGCTACGCGCCATGTAGGACCCTTGGCCGGGGACTGAACTGGCGCTGCAGAGGCTGTGGGCAGCTTTGCAGCCCAGCGCTCAACCGCTGTGCCACCAGGGGAGGCCTGAATCATGACTGTTTTAGAAGCACACTCTTTCAAAGTGGAGAGCAGTATTTCTTAATTGGACAAATACTATTCAGGAAACCTGGGGCAGCATCACAAATGACCACAGGGAAAATACTACAAATCTAAGGCTAGAACAACAAACATAAAGGGCTGTGGTGCACTGAAAAGGCTTTTTAGAAAAGCATGATGCTGGCTACATACAGCCATCAATTTTATATTGCAGGAGAAAAAATTGAGCAGCACAAAGAGCAAGTCCTTTAATAGCAGGGTCAGCCCCACATGAACAAAATGTCCAGCCTCACGGCCCCGCATCACTCTGCTACTGCAGTGGCTTGGTCCCAGCATTTGCTCGTTTGGGTTATCCCTGAAGACACTGTCAGAATGAGGAATGGTTAACAAATTGACCTTGAAGTAGCCATTTCTGTGTTTGTTCAAACTGATATTTTAGATGTTAGCAGAGAGTTTCTTAAGTTACTAGAATGGAAGGATATAATAACAGAACAGAAAACATTCAGAGTATGGGGCACAATCTGAAGTAAGGGATGAGAGGCAGTCATGACAGGATTTGGAGCAGAAGCAATGACGTTTGGGGGTACCCACATTAGGGACACACAATGCTGATTTTGCAAAGTCAACATTTTTCCTATAAATTGCTCTATTAGGAGTTTCTCTAATTAAATAAACAGAAACACACGGAATCCATCTGACCCATTGTCCCACCTCATTTGACCCTAGCCCCTTGCAGAGATTCAGGTTACTTAAGTGACCAAAACACAAGTGAGGTTAACAGAAACCCCCAACTTGTAAAGTTTTAGGTATTTTAGTATCTCTATTATACAGTATCTACCTTTCTAATTAGCTCATGAATACAGTATACATTTTCATTTTAGTAACATCTAACTCAATCAGTTGTTCCAAATCACTATATTTTTCTTAAGTAGAGTTGTGACTTATCAGCATACAGATGGAGATTTGGGATATTTTAAAAAGTGAGACTTCTCACTTTGCTATGGTAATCAAGTAAAGTGACATCCTTTCGATTGACTGGTGAATTATGAAACCAGATCAAACCACAAGTTCTGTATTTATTGTTGCAAAAGCAATAAAGAGTGAGTTAACCTTAGATTTAAATCTTGACTGTTCATATCTGAACTCAGTGGCCCCTGAAAAATCACTTAACCTCCCTGAGATTTTTTTTAATTTGTAAAAATCAGGATGATAGCTGTTATCTAAAGAAGACTGTGTGAACTAAATACACATGTTTAGGGAACACGCATTGTACAGTGTAAAGTGTCATTTAAAAAAGCAGGACTATTCCCCACACAGGTGTCTCACGTTAATGAGAAATTGGAAAGATGAGGATGTGGTAGGAAGAATCTTTTAGAGGTAGGACTTGTTTAATATATACTTTTGGTCCTGAACTATAAATTAGATCAGCTCTTAGGTATTTGAGTTGGGCAATTATCAGTATCTCACTGAGCACATATCTAAAGTGAATGTACATTTTTGCCTGGGGTGTGGATTACAGGGTGGGGCAGAGTTAGTGGACTAAGATGCTTTCTAAAATTGGTAATCAAATCATGTGAGTTGTAAGATAATGGAAAGATTGGCCATTGAAGAGCATCTGGGAACTTAAAGAGACTTGGTATAATACTCCCTTTTGATTTCTCCTTGATTTTAAAATGTCATTTGCTTCACAGACTCTGAAACCTCCTAGGAACTCTTGACCAACCTGGAAATACATTGGTAAGTGTTGAGAAACTGATTTAGGACTCTGAAGGTTTGCTTCATGTGTGTCATGCCACTGACTCAGATTCCCACTTCCGCCCTCTATCCCAGACCCAGACCCCCTTCTCCAGCTCTGCTTTTCCAGGTCACTTTTACTGGCATTCATATACCAGCTGCCTGAATATTGCAGAACATGCTCTGTTTACTATTTAGCCCCTCAAAAAATAAATGCCTGAGCGCACATCATTGGGAATGTATTTATAGAAATATAGATAACTTGTGATAAATAGTATTGATTGAGCATTAACTAAGAAACTGATTCTGAGCTGGGTTGTCTTTGGATGTTGGTGTGGATTCTGAAAGCTTTCTTAATTCCATTCCGATATCGGAGTTTTTACTACATGTTATTTGCTGAAGTCATTTCTCTTTCAGGATTACAACTCCCTGTAAGTTGCTTGCCCTTATTGGTTGTATGTCTTTTTAATGACTTCATAAGCAGTTTGGCGAAGAGTCTTCCCTGCATATCCCCTCTGCTCTTAGTAACTCCAATTATAGTACCAGTTTTTGTTCATGTCATATTCTCATTGTGCTTTTTAAATAAATGGTGACAGGATGAAGAGGGAGGAGTAAACAGGATGTTGGGGGTTGAGGAGAAGTTTGGAAAAATGAATAAAGCACTTTGGAGTTCCCCATGAAGAAGCAATTGACTTTCTATATTCACCAAATAGCCCCTTCACTCACCATTGCATGATTCAACCATTCTGGAAAGAGATCATCTAAGACCTTCGGGTAAACAAGTTCTCGATTGTAGAGAAAGAGACTCCAGAATGATAAAAATACAAACTGGAAATCAAACACAAAAGTAGCATCGGTAGGTTTTCTTTCAATTAAAGTTTTCTAAGACAACTAAGGAAGCATAACAAAGTAAAACTAGATACTCATTTTTAAAGATCTTTTACATATCTATTATAGAGATGTAGAAATGTTAAATGAAGAAAAAACAATGCTATTGTTGACTTGCTATATTTATCCCCTCTGGGTTTTCTGGAGAGTTAGGGGTCAATTATTTGTCATCATGACAGGCAGTGAGGTTATGGATAAACAGGATTCACAGACCATTAAGTCATTTCATTTTAACTGATTACTTCTCTCTTTTCTAGAAAACTTCTCTTAAGAGTGTTGAAAGCAGCCACACGGAATGATTTGAGTGTTACACTGCCCCTGCTGCTCTCTAAATAGGCACAGCAAGAGGAAGCAGAAAGGCTGGAAGAGAAAAGTGACAAACCCGTAGGATAATTTATAAGCTAGCTAATTGAGAGTTGGATCTCTCTGTCATTCAGAACTTTGGGTTGATCCTCATCTTCTTGTGCCTCTTGGCTATCTTGTCAAAGCATCTATCCTCTATGTTATAGTCATGGACTGATGGGAAAAGAAACTACAAATCTTTCAATCTTCATAAATTTCACAGGCTCAATTTCTAAGCCTTAAAAAAAAAGGAAGAAACTGTATTGTTATACAAAAAAAAAAAAAAAAAAAAACACCAAACTTGGCCGTTGGAAGATTTATGGGGGTGGAGGAGGAGGTGTCCTCCAAAGTAAAACTGGAAATAAAACTGGAATGCCAGAACTTGCTCCTTTATCTGAGAACTCATTAGGGTTTGGAGAGTTTCATTTTGCATTTAAGTTTGAAGCCTCAGTACTATGATAAGCAGAACAAAAACAGGTAGAAAGGATTTCATCATTTCCAATGATAGGTCCTGCTGGGCAGGTGATGTGCTTTATCTCACTTTGTTCCCATTCTAATGAGTGAAAATATGAACAATGTCATAAAAATATGGACAGTATCAACGAGCAAGCTTACTATCCCTTTGCATCTGTCTTGCTTCTTCACAGTATCCATTCATTGAATAAAACAAATGGGTCACCCCATTGTGCACCCCACACCAGGTATTTGAAACCCTCTCTCTCTCTTTCTTTCCTCTCCTCAATTATGTTTTCCATGTGCCAACTTTGAAGGTTCTCATACCTTCTTTGTTTTATGATTTCCATTTTACAGAAGTATCATATGCTTATCGCAGCAAGAGAAACAAATGTGCAAAGGGTAGGAATCTTCCTCCTCAGCACTTTTCATCCCTTCGGCCTGTTGGAGCCAAGTCTATCTCAGCTGTATTGTGTGTTGATTAAGAAAGATCTTTTAATTTTCCTTATTAGGCAGCAATAAGAATCTTGTATCAAATATTCACAAAGCTACAAATGCTAATGATAAATCTACTTAGTAATGTGCCCTATTTTCTGAAGACTCTGGGCAATGTGGAACAGTCCTCCAACAGGACATTTATGCAAATGAGGTTACTCTGGCTTACAAACTGGGCTCCCACACAGCCCCAGCCCCACAAGTGTTCATCCATATGGGCATGTGCGCCGTATTCCACACACATCTCTGTACTTACTGTGGATATCGGGAAAGCCAATGTGGCGAAAAGCAGGTCTCTCAAGGCAGTTAGGAACTTTATGTCTTTTTTCCCTTTAATTTTTTTCAGTACATCTTCCAGGCAGGCGACACCGTAGAAAATGGCCTGCAATAACTAAATTCATTACAACAAATGAGGGCATTTTCATTTGCTTTAATTAATACATTCCTCACTGACGTAAAGCTCTATCCCTCTGGGAGCAGTGTTGATTTGAGAAGGAGGGGGCTGTTCGCTGTTTTGGTGGAGAGCCAACTGAAGGGTTAGTCTTCCAGCCCACTGAGCCCTGACCTTGCTAGCTGAAACTGATTGAGTGAAGTCGTTTAGGGGATAATAATGTGTACAGTATTTAGTGTAATGGACTTGAGCTAAAATGGAAACAAAATAAAGAGTCAGCTTAAAAGGAGAGTGTAATGAGATAGATACCTTGGCAGAATGGTGTTGGGGAAAACCGAATAAAAAGCACAAGGGCGAAGGGCCAGACATAATGGTTGGACATGTTTTGGTCTCTTCCTAGCAAGAAAAATTTCAAAAAATGCCTAGTTCTGAACCAGGGTCAAGAATACCATGAAGGAGCTCTGAGGGTGAAGCACAGGGTGGTGTCTTGCTTATTTGGGGGGGGGGGAAACCAGTGATCTCTCCTCAACAAAAGGGGATGTCAGAAGACCTTTGTGTGGTAAATGATTGTCAGGCTTTTCTGCCCTCCCGCCATTAGGATAGATGATGGATCCCTGCAGTCCTGAATGCATGCCTGATGGCAGGCACCTGGAGTGGGGTGTGGGCATACATAGGGTGGATTCACCTGGGCTGAGACTAGGCTTATAAAGGTGGTGTCATGAAATGGAACCAAAACCAGAAGGAGAACAGGTGAGAGATCAGAAGAGATGAGAGCAGAGAAGCAGAGGCCACGAGAGACCACCAGAGAGCTCAGATAGAGTGAAGATTCACTGGGCTCCCAGCACCCCTAGCACCCCTGCCTGCCATGTATCTGGTAAAATCCCAATAAAAGCCTGAGAAAGCCACCGAGGGCTCCAGGACTCTCCTTTACCTGTCTGCTTGGATCATAGAGAATCAGCTTTGTGCCTTCCTGGCACTACAACCTTACAAAGAAAATTTGTTTGAGAGTGAATTGAACCCATAGGGATTATAGGGTAAGGTAAAAAGTATCGGGCTTTCCTGCCCTCCCGCCACTAGGATAGATGACAGAAACCTGTGGTCCCGAATGCATTCCTGATGGCGGGCACCTGGAGTAGGGTGTGGGCATATGTAGGTGGGATTCACCTGGGCTAAGACTAGGCTTTTAAGGGCGGCATCAAGGGGACTCCAGTAGAAGCCAACAAAGAAGCAGAGAAGCAGAAGCAGAACTGAGAGAGCAGAGCAGCAGAGACCACCACAGAACGCTGGAGAGCCCAGACAGAGTGAAGACTTGCTGGGGGCTGGGAGGCCTGCCAGCCTCTCGGCCCCCCAGCACCCCTGCCTGCCATGTGCCTGGTGAATCCCAATAAAAGCCTGCAAAAGCCAACAAGGGCCCCAGGACTCTGACCCCTCCTTACCCTGTCTGCTGGATCAGAAAACCTGCACTGTGTCCATTCCTGCATTATAGGGTGTAGGGTAAGGTAAAAGGTATCAGGCTTTTCTGCCCTCCTGCCATCAGGATAGATGAGGGAACCCTGTGATCCTGAATGCATGCCTGATGGCGGGCACCTGAATTGGGTACACCTGCGCTAAGACTGTGCTTTTAAGGCGGTGTCACGGGGACGCCAGTAGAAGCTGAAAGAGAAGCCAAGAATGAACAGAAGCCAAAAGAGAAGCCGAGAGGGAAGCAAGAGAAGCAGAAGCTGAGAGAAGGCCGGAGAGCCCAGAGTGAAGACCTGCTGGGGCCTGGGAGGCTGGCAGCCCCCAGCCTGCCTTGTACCTGCTGAACCCCAATAAAAAGACCTGCAAAAAGCCACTAAGGACTCTGACTCCTCCTTCACCCAGTCTGCTGGATCAGAAAATCTGCGCTGTGTCCAGTCCTGCCCCTACACACGGATAGAGAAAGCCACGGATTCTGGTGCATCCTTATGTATAGTGAGGGCCCTGAACCAGGGAAAAGAGAAGCTGGGCCTAGGGTTCAAGGAAGCAAAGATCAAGTGCTTATTCTTAACGGTTCACACAAATTTAAGACCTGGGGGTTTCTAATTAAAGACCTGGGGGTTTTACTATAATACCGAGTAGGGGTTGCCTTTGAGTTAAATTTTCATAAAATTCCATATTATTCCTCGAAAGCTCTGGATTGGTACAAAGTGGTATTCTTTTGCTCTCTGCTGAGAGTCTGCATCAGGAAAATTCCAGAACCTAGGGAACTTGCTCATTAAGGATAGAGTTCATTGTTGGGAAAACACCTGAGATCTGAAGTCTCGGAAAGTTCTAAAAGACGTGGCCTCTTGCCACTCCTCAGGCTGAAGGAGAAGGCAGGAGAGGACGCACAGGTGGTTGTGTCAGGCTGGCAATAGTCTCAGGCATGTCCTTGGGCCAGCAGCACCAGCAGCACATGCAAACTTGTTGAAAATAGAGGACCTTAAACACTCAGCCTATGGAGTCAAAATTTCTGGGGATTGGACCCCAGAAAATGTTTTCAACAAACTTCAGGTTATCATCTCGATGGATCTAGATCAAGAGGTCTAGATCACTGGATTAGACATAAATTTATCACATGGATTAGACATAAATTTATGACATACAAATCCAACTGATTACTCAAAAATTATGATAGCTGATTTTATTGGCCATTTGTGATATGCCAGCCAATGATTATAAGTGTTTAATGTTTTGTAACAATCTTCTGAACTAAATTCCATTGTTATGTACTCTTGCCTACATTATAGATGAGGAAACTGAGACATAAAGAGATGAACAAACATACCTACATCCCTAATCTTTTTTTTAAGATTTATTTATTTATGCATACAAGAACTGGGGTACAGACCAGAGGTGCGGGGGGCGGGGGTGAGAGGGTTCACCAGAGACAGAGTGGGGAACAGAACAGGCAGATTGACTGAAATACACTGCTGAGGGGAGAAGTGGGTGAGATAGGAGAGGTCTGCTGTGCCATGTGGGTAGCTCCCTGGCTGGCCAGGGATGGAACTCGTGCTGCAGAGACTGTGGATAGCTTCCAAGTGTTGTGCTTAATCCCTTGTGCCACCAGGAAGGCCCCACATCCCTAATCTTATGGTTGGAAAATATCAAGGACAGGATTTGAAACCAGAATGTTGTTCTCAAGTCAAACTTAAAAAAAAAAAAATGTATGAGGTTTCTAAGACCAGTTCAGACAAAACATTATAGGAGGTCGGAAGAAGAACAATTATCTGCAGTTGGAAGAATTCAAAATGACTTCAAAATGTATTGAGGGCCTTCCTGGTGGCACAGGGGTTAAAGTCTCAGCACTATCAAGCTATCTCCAGTCACTGCAACATGAGTTCGATCCCCAGCCAGGGAACTAACACACATGGCACAACAGACCTCTCCTGTCACATCCATTGCACCCCACAGCATTATATTTCAGTAGATCCACCTGTTCCACTCCCCACTCTGTCTCTGGTAAATCCTCTCATCCCTTCACACCTCTGGTCTATACCCCAGTTCTTGTATGCATAAATAAATAAATTTTTTTTAAAAAAGTATTGGTGACTGATTTCCAGCCCCAGAAGTTCTATTCATGGGTCTAGGAGTATGGCCTAGAACTCAGGATTTTAAAAATTCTCTCAGTTGATCCAATTCTGGGCAGCCAAGGTGAGAAACACTTGCTTGGAGGAAATTGCATTTGGGAATTCAGACCTGAGCTCTCAGAAAGGTGGGGTTTGGAGGTCCAGGGAGTGAAGCCTCCTGGTGGGGATGAGTTTGCTGGAGAGAGAAAGAGGAGGTGAGAAGTGGGAAGCAAATGCTGGAGAAATGTTCTCCTCTAAAGGTCAGGAGGGGTAAAGGGATAGCAAAGGAGCAAAGAATGTTTGGATGATAGAAAACCAGGAGTGGATCAGCTCCCCATGGTCCCTAAGGCAGAAGGAATTTTCCAGCCAAAAGGGGGTGCTCCAGGGAGGGTAGGGCCTCAGTTTTAATTACCACCAAGAGATTGCTACCCTAATATTGTCATTTGCTTTGACATTCACTGCCTAAGGGCTCTGGAATTTGGAGTCATCTGCACGTGGATATTAGAAGTTGCCTCGTCCACCCTTCCCCCAGCAGCTCTAACCTCTCCCCTGGTTTCACTTCCACTGTTCAGACCTCAGCAAGCAGCTGCTTTAGTAAGGGCAGGCTTAGGGCCTGGGCCTGGTGAGGAGGCTGCACTGTTCTATCAACACAGCAATTAATCAGGCGCTGAACACTGAGTGTCTGCCAAGTTTTCTCTCTTTGGGGAGAGGCCATCTCCACCCAGCATGTGGCGCCTTCCTTAGCAAGCGCTACCTAGAGTCATCATGAGTCAAGCTTGTCCTGACTTTCTCTTGCCTTTCCCAGTCACAGAATATGAAAATTGGACTGGGGAAAAGAACACATGACTCAGAGCTCCTGTGGAATCTTTTTCATCAATAAACATTTGCTCCACACTGTACACTTGCCAATCACATTCCTCCCTCTTACCCCAGCCCTCAAGTTATTTCACGGACATATGCCACTTGTAAAGATGCCCACTCTGTGTACAAGGCAGCTTTGTCTCCACTGAGCTTAATCCACGTTGACACTCCATGAGCTGTATCAATAAGGATGATTTATGAAGCCTCCACACTTATTGTGCTTCCATAGGGAGGCACCACAGGGTTGGCAGTAGAAATAAATAGGCAGGGGACTCCCTGGTGGCACAAGGGGTTAAGCACAGCACTGTGAAGCTATCCACAGCCTCTGCAGCACGAGTTCAATCCCCTGCCGGCCAGGGAGTGACCCATATGGCACAGCAGACCTCTCCTGTCTCACCCGCTGCTCCCCTCAGCAGTGTATTTCAGTCAATCTGCCTGTTCTGTTCTCCACCCTGTCTCTGGTGAATCCTCTCAGCCCCCACACCTCTAGAAGGAGGTGCTCTGAGTTCCCTCAATGGGGTGGCCTCCCCGGACACCTCAAGGACAGGTTTGGATTAGCTCACTGAACCT